GACTTCATAATTTAACGCCTTGAAAATGGATCTCTGTGTCTTTAAAATTCCTGCTTTTTCTGAAACTTCAGAAACCTTCAGAAAGTCAGAACATCATGGCTCCTCTATTGACCCTTTAGCAACTTTTTTTTTCACCAGCGTTTCACTGAGAAGTAGCTCTTATGATGAGCTCAGCTGATGAGCAGTTCTACCAGTTTTATGAAGGAGTTGAGTGAGGGAGTTGTGGGGGAGCAGTGAGACTTGGAAGCTTAGAAACTACAGCTTTTAGGAGGAGCTGCGTCTGGTATGCTTTAGATGAGGAAATAACATCATGACATGATGTAAAGCTCAAAAAATGTGATTTTACATAATACTGCCCCTTTAAGAACATAAATTAAAAAAATTAGCTGAGTTTTTCGTCTAGAAACTGCTGAGGTTATCAGTGTAGCCGTGTCCCTGTTGTAACTTTCTTCTCCCACTTTTAGGTTCTGTTTATCTGTTCAGAGGAGATTCCTACTGGAAGTTCATGTTTCCAGGCTCTGCACCGCAGGATGGATACCCACGATCCTCTGCTGCAGACTGGTTGGACTGCATCGACTCCTCGTCCCCGTCCGCAGTGGATGACTTCTCCCTGTCTCTGTCTCCTCCTGCGGGAAGACAAGAGCTGCAGGAAACACAGAGGGAGGACGGGCAAGATGGGGACGTGGGAGGGAACAGGAGGGACCGACATCGCCATACACCGAAATACAGACAGGACAGCGAGACACACATCTGGACACAGTGCACATGCCAAAGTAAAGCACCAGGTGGCAGCAAAGCATCTGGATTGTTGATTTGTCTGCTGGTGACTTTGTGTCTGACCAGGCTTTAGAAAATCTCGTATTCTATCACAGTGTTTCTCAACCTTTTTGGGGCCAGCGCCCCCCATTATCCATTATCCAGGTCCCTCATCGCCCCATCAAAGAATTTGTAGGCTACTTTGTACTGAATATTATTTTATTATTAATATTACTATCACTATTGTTGATGTTTTCATTTTTATGCTTGTTTCTGTATTTATCATCAAAAATAATTTCCCAAAGAACAAAAAAAAGTCATAGGTATAAAAATCATTTTTACAGGTGTCAACTTAAGCTTGATAGGCCTATCAGCAGCCAATCAGAGTGGAAAAAATATTCTTGTTCTGTGCCATTTTCTGATGTTAGTTGTTACATATCGCAAAGAATGACCAGATAAAAGCTATGCAACAATGCCAGTATAAACTTTGATCTGTTTGCAAAAAGTCTGTCCTCTGCAACATTAAAACATGGATAGAACTGCAATTATGTCAATCATAACGGGCACTTCAACAACATTATTTTACCTTTTATCTCTGTTTCAATTATTGCTTGAAAGGTCTTGTCATACCAGAGGAGGAGAGGGAGTGAACCGTGAGATAAGGCTTCTGCATGTTGGTGTTCCCGCTAAATCCTGAATA